TAAAATTTTGAAGGCAAGTCTACAAATGTGATGACATGCCCTTTGACCCCTACCTGTAGTGATAGGTTTAAACCCAGTACAAATCAAACCTTGATGAACAACAGATCTTCTGGCACTTATAGATTAATTCATGCCAATTCCAGGCTACTAGTATTACAGCAAAAATGGTCCACGTCAATATCAAGTCAATGGAAATGGCATAATATAACAGTTTTTATCATTAAATACATTGAAAATACCACTATAACACACTGCTTACATCATGATGAAATTCATACTTTTCACAAAACACACCATTTATAACAAACATTTTTTTCTATTTTAAACAAAAACATCCAAACTTCAAATAATTTCATTATATAATATTCTAAACTATCCCAATGACCAGATGCTTATTAATTTAAGACCCCATTTAAAAAAACTTCAATATTCCTGATTTTAAAAATATTAAATAAAAAAGCTAAAGCAAATAATCATTAAAAAAAACTTTTGTAAATATTCAGTAGTTGTACCAATGATAAAACAAATAAGGTAAAGATTACTAAATAAATAAGTTGCCAGTACACATAGCTAAAGATTTGTAGAGAACTCATACATATAATTATGAAAACTGTGTGATATGAGGCTACTGTTTCTTTTTATGTATAATTTTATCTTCCAACTTTATTAATACCCATTTCTTAACACTCAAAACAACCCAAAAATATAAAATTAGTGTTCGGAAATTAACTCTTTGACCTTGCAAAAGTGAAAGGGATATGAAAGTTTTTCTACACCTACAAGCTGACAGAACATTAGATGATACTGGAATGAGATATTGAATCAGTAAATATGACATTAGTTCAGTAATGTTAATGTGATAAATACTGTGTTCAGAATTAAAAGTTAAAAACAGTTAGTGATTAAACAATGCGATCGCAACAGAATCTACAAAGTGATATTACAGGTTAATAGTATGATACTATACAATGCACTAGTGATAAAAAAATACAAATGTGATTGAATATGTTATAACAAAACAAGATAAATACTGTAATGAAGTGAGAATGATAAACAAAATTGGGATTATAGCCAAAAGTATCAATAACAGCAAAAGTACTAAACTGGTTTATTCAATGCATTTTACTCATAATTCTTGTTTTGACACTGTATACTTCTAAAAATTAGTTTAATTCTATTTATATTCAGTCAATTCAGCAGAGTTTGGGACCACAAGTTGATCTTTAGAGTTTCTATATTATAAGTTTTAATATGTTTTGTGCATCTTCACAAAATTTCACAAGCTTTCATTAAACATTGCAAGTCTTTTGCATCAAAATATCAGAATTTTTACTAAAAATTTCTTCATGAATATACGAATTCAAAACACTGACTACTCCCAGTACAAATTGATTTTTCATGTTACCATTAAATGCACTTTTCTTCGTCAAAAAATTGTCAAATTCCATTTGTGTAATCTTTGAAACTTACTAAATAAATTTAAAACATTTTTTATCAGTAAAACTTTATATTTCATTTGTTATTTTCTCTACTCTAATTCTATATGCATTCGGTCAATTTGACTAACCTCATAACCATCACAAAAGTATAAGAAAGAAATCTAAATTTTTGATTTCTAGAATGACTGCAAATTGTAACAGGAAACTACAGTTGTTTATCCTAAATAGTTTAAAGCTTGTAATAATATACTTCTGTTTCTACCTAAATTTTATTGCCCTTCAAACCATGTCCTAACTACTAATTCCACCACATAAGTTTGAAATCAATCAGCAAACATATGGCTCATGTTACCATATTGAATTAAACAACGAACGAGCTACTTATGAGCAAACCTCACGAAGAATATTTATTATTCTTATTTTTTCTTTATCTTACCTAATTCAAAATAAAAAGTTTCTACTTTCACACTTTAGTTACATTTATAATAATGAATAAAGAATCCACATGAAAAACAAGAAATACAGTACTTACCTGTTTCTTTGTTGCTGTCGACCATCAATAAAACTTAAGCCTACTTTTTCTTATACTAATGGTACTACTACTATTACATTAAACAATTTTCTATTTAATTAAGTAATGAAACTAAGAACACAGAATAATAACAGGTAAAAAGCAGACACTGCCATTAAGTATTATAAATTTTCTGACTTTCTAAATATGCTATAGAAAACAATATAATACATCATTTGATAGATTAAAACTTTGCCTTTCTATTTGTTATAAGTAATATACACAGCGTGGTCACAAGTAAATAGACACAACCTTTTCAGAAAAAATGAAATTTTTCAGTCATATTCACATGAATTGATATATTTATAATTTAATTAATATCTAGTAGATCTTCCTTTCGCTTAGTGGAGTTCGTTGATCCTTTGGTGCATCCTGAGAATCATCTCGTCAATTTTAGATTGTGGGATTTTCACCCACTCTTGCTTTAAAACTTGGAGTAGACCGCTCATCAAAGTTGTTTTTTTTTTGTTGTTTCTTGACTTGCCGGTTGAGTATGTCCCAGAGGTTTTCAATGGGGGTTCATGTCAGGAGATTGGCTCGGCCAGGGCAGC